TATTCTTGCAGCATTGTTTTCCCAGCTTCTTGCATCCTACCGTAGACCTTTACTTAGCTAACAAATAAACGTGATTGCTACGGCTGACGCAAAGGAAATTTAATTGAGGTTGAGGTTTCAATATCCAGAATATACAATGGAAAAGTTTTGTTATAAGTAAGTCTTGGTAATCAATTATTCTTACATATTTATTTACCGTGTTCTCGTGTTTCAGAGCGGAATAACATCGATTTAGAAATAATTTCTCTTTTTAAGAGTATTAATACATGCAATCAACGCATTTTTGAATGCACTACATTTTAATTGTACTATGAAAGGCCTTTGTAGCCATTGTATTGCTATAATTCTTTGTACTCTTTAAATTTACACTACTGATATTAACTAATTTAGCTTGAAAAGATCATAATATGGCACTTAAAGTACTGCGTAGCCATTATGTTTGGTCATCCAAAGCCAATTATAATGATACGATTACATGATGCGAATAAATGACATCGATTTCTGCTTAAGCCTTAGAAGAAAAGCATTTCAAAGCTTTTCACATTTTCCGGTCTGAGATGGTCATGGTTTGAGTTAAAAATGTGGATATCACTGGTACATTCTCAATGTCTAGTTGGGACTGGGTTGACTCAAAAGTCTGCCTACTGATACGAAGCATAACAAACGTTGACAAGCGGTGTATTAATTATACGAATTGGTTTTTCATTGAATCTTTCGCTAAGGTCCATGACCATGGCAATATATCAGCAGTTTTGTCTTGCAGTTTTTTGGGCAACAAAATAATAGGGTGGTTAGTTTCGATATTAAATTTCTGGATTCTCTTTCTTGCACATAGATTGTTTATCAATGATATACTGAGCAAAGGTATTGATAATGATCTGCCACCATGACAAAGATGCCGTAAGCGCTCTTTAATTACGCGCTACGAATCTTGGCAATAACTTCTCTTCATAAGCAATTGCTGCCTAAGAGGTTCTGCCGCAATTCCTGGTGTATAGCTCCAAAAGCGGTAGTGACTGAACATCTAGGATGGCCTTTTTGGAAGTAACAGAACAATAAAGCCTCTGGCTGGACACTTTAAAAGGTCTCTCTTAGCTCAACTCAAATGAGATACCTTTATTGAG